AAGCCCTGCTGGGGGATAAATACCTCTACACCAGATACTCAGAAGAGCTGAGCGCTTCTACAAAAGTCCCCCTCAGCATCTGGTTTAGAGAGTTCCGCAACCCACTTTTAGAGAGGAAAACTAGGTTATTAAGATGGATTGAACTTGATAGGGATTTTGTACCAGCACAACTTGACTCAAAATTCAATCAACTAACCAGAAAAGGCATTACATCATACTGCGTGATTTCCTCTGGAACCGATCTGGATAGTTTCCAACAACTACAAGAAAAATTTGACCTTGACAAACGAGACTTTTTCAGATATTTGCAGCTCAGGCACCACTTTAATAAGAACATTAAAATATCGGAGAAATATGATCAGGACCTCATTAACGTCTTCATTGATGCTTACAAAGATAAACCCTGCAAGAAAAAGCTGTCCAGACTATATACATGCCTAGAAGCTATTAAAAAAACATCAACATTTTATATCAAAATATCATGGGAAAGGGAGGCAAAAATATCACTGACAGAGGATGAATGGTTAAACATATGCCAAATTAACTCCACCACCACCAGCTCAGGATGTTGGAGGGAATTTTCTTGGAAGAATATTGTTAGATTTTTCACTACCCCCAAAAGAACATTTACCCAGTCCGGTAGAGCTGAGGCTGGGCTTTGTTGGAGACGATGTAATAATGTAATGGCTGACCACTTTCATATTTTTTGGGATTGCCCATTGATCTATTCCTATTGGTCAAAGATATCTAAAGAGATAAGTGTAATTCTTGGTTTCGAAATTGAACACAATTTTAAAACTATATATTTAAGTAATATACCAAAAGAACTCAGCACTCAGGATAAGTACTTGTTGAAAATTTTATTGATTGCAGGGAAAAAATCAATTACAAGAAAGTGGCTTAGTAGGACCTCACCGACATTGAGGGATTGGACAGCGATCGTTGAAGAAATTTGGGAGTTGGAAAGGCTCACCTTCTCCATCAGACTTCAGGAAAACAAAATTAAAAAATTTTGGTCGAAATGGTTAACTTATAGGAACTCGAGAATAAATTGAGTTCCATTATTACTTCATCAGGTGCGGTATGAGGAGCCAGGTGTTGAGTAGCCTGGCAGGTCTTGGTAAATATGGAAACAAACTCCCACCCGCCTGACTCCTCACAGAACTTTACATACACTGTAACCCGTTTATCAGTTATTTGTCAGTTAAGTCTTATCTTTTTGTATGATATAACTGTTCCCCTCCCTTGGTGACCTCTCTGTTGTTGTTTTTTGAGTGTCGATTACGGTCCTGGTTGTGACATTCAATTTTATCTATTTGTATGTTTATTTATTTTATTTTTATTTCATTGTATACTGTTACGGCTTGATTTGTATAAAATCCTTTTCAAAAATAAAGTAAAAAAAAAAAAAAAAA